AAGAAGAGTACCTGAAGTGGCCCATGGAATCTTTTACCATAGTTATGTGTCGTTGATCAATAAATTTGCGAGGTCAGACCATGTTGACTTCTAAGGAATCAGCTCCTCTTCCAGGGGTGAGTCCTGAGGTACGAACTTCATTACATTTTTTTTTATCATGATCTTTGTTTTGCTTTTCATATTCTCATCTAAGTATGTCTTGGATTTCCCTTCTGTTAAGGTCAACTTGGTATTGTACCAGCATCAAACAAGTTTTGTACCGGCATCAGACTCGTCTGAAGGGTGCCCCCAAGTTCATAGTGACTTTTTGGACACCTCCAGTGGTGGTGGGGTTGAAGTTGATGTAGCTCAAAGTTGGTCTATTGATGATATTGATGATAGAATTTTTGCTGACCTAAATCATGCAGGCACTGATCGCTCCTAGGTGCTATCTTACCATGCTTCTTAATTAAGTACTGTCACTGCCTTTAGCCCTCAGGAAACGGATACATCCCTTTTACTCAGTGGGCCCCATCCCTATTTGTGGTTGAGTCCGAATGAGCCCAATCATGATGACAGATATGCAGTGTGGGCACTCGGGACCTAGATGCATCACTGCTTTCCCCTTTAAAGGAGCCGGAGACAATTCAGGAGGATATCACGACAAATGGGGAGAATCTACATTCGAGACTCCTCTTCCAAGTAAAATGTCTAGTATATTCTTTTTAGGTTCTTTACACTTCACTTAGAACTAATTGTGTCTTTTCATTCCATCAGGCCCTGTTTGGTTTGAAGGAAAGTAAAGAAAAGGAAAAGAAAATGCAATAGAAAATACCTTTCTCTTGTTTGGTTTAAAAGAAAATGAAAAAGAAATTGAATGTTAAAATCACCCAAGAAAGTTTCATATAATCTCAGTTCGCTTTCCAATTCCCGACTCAAACGGAGAGAAAATGACAGAGAGGGAGAGAAAATCTCGCCCGACGCCTCCTTGAAAAATTCCGACTCCATCCCCGACCTAGTCGACGCCATCTGTCACGCCCCGCTTCCCAAAATACCAGGGAATCGGGACGCGAGCAAGCCCGCGATGTATTAAACTGAGAAGAGATAAGTGCTAGACCCCGTTTTCTCAATCTAATACGCTAAGCGTCAAGAAATACAAACGAAGGCACAGGTCCCCGATCACAGTAATGAGAATATAATAAACAACTCAGAACCAAAAGATACATATCACAACTGAAATGATCATCCAGACATAATATTCGGGCCAAACATGCCCTTATACAAACTATCTGAATGAAATACTGGAGAATATAAAATACAATGATCAGGCGGAAAAGGAAATGCTACGAAAATAAACTGAAAGGAATAACTGAACTTCAACTCTTCTTCTGCTTCGTATACAAGACACTCCTACTGAGAATACTCGGCTCTGGCGCATCTCCAAGCTGAACCTGTTCTTATTCTAAGTCTGACGTACACCAGAGAAAACAGGTGTACGTCAGGTGCATGACGCACGGCAAGACCCGACCCCACAAAGAAAATAGAACGAACGAAAATCCAATGCGAAAAATGATACGATAACAGAAACAACAAAAGAACATACAATTGAAATCCACAAATCAACATGAAAACACTACTAAATCATGATAACATAAACCATCCAAAAGCGATCAGGTAACGAGTTCATGCAGCTAACGATCAGAAACAATCGTACAAGTCACAATGGCATACACTAGATGGAATTAATACTTAAAAATCTACAACAAGAGACGTAGTACGTCGAGCGAAATAATCCAAACAAGGAAACCCTCATGTATATACCATATGTCTCAAATTGTAGATAATTAAATATTAACCCCGATCTATGTATGGAAAGAAATACAACCGATCTACGTCTATCAATAATCACAATATCACTGTTCCTCAGACCCACCCCAGTGCGAAACGATTCACTGGTGCGAGCCTGAAATAAACAATACACATCCGATCACTGCTCCTCAGACCCACACCAGTGCGAAACGATTCACTGGTGCGAGCCTAGAATAACAATAAACATATCTGATCACTGCTCCTCAGACCCACCCCAGTGCGAAATGATTCACTGGTGCGAGCCAGGAAATAAACAACAACATATCCGATAACATGAACATGGACTTCCCCATCCCAACTCATCTTGCTTTTCTAAGTCAACAATACACAGGTGTCTAGGTCTTATACACGATACGTTGGGCAACTACGGACATGAACTACTAACGGTTCTCAACAAAACAAGAAGTAATAAATAAATACAACTAATCTTATGCAAATCATATGATGAACATGACTATATAAGCTAGCGATGAAATCAGGTGTGCATATATGACATGAGTGAGTAAAAATAACAGTGTCAACATGTCGGTGTTAATGTACATGAAACGTCGTGTTCTTCAATTATCAATCACACAATCATAACACAAAATAATCTTTTACCAAAATAACTTCTTTAAAAATATTTATCATTCTAAAATAATTTCCTTCCACGATAAAAATTCTAAAAATATTATAATTAATCTAAAATAATTCTGTTACCCAAAATACATTCTTTAACTTATTATATTGGTTCTGAAAATACTATTTATCACATAATTTCTATCCATTCAATATTATTCATCAAACCCACACAGATAATAACAATTATAAATTAACATAAACAGATAATTCACTAATTCATCAACAAGCCCACACAGATAATAACAATTCATAATTTAATTTATGCAAGTAATTAACGATAGATATAAATAGGAATTGACGAGTCAAGAGGAAGCGGGATCTTGCCTCGGGTACGTCGTCAACTGCAGCGGGGGTCGTCGGGGTGGATACACGGGTCACAACAGGTTCAACGGCTCGTCGGAAAGTCAATCGGATAGAATACAAAAGAGAGGTATTAGTAGCGATTAGCGATATTCGAATGAATATAACGATGTGTAGATAAGGAGCCCAAGTAAAAGGAATAAACTGTGTGATAGACAACACGAAGGGCTACGCACCGGTGAAGACGGTGGCGGAAACGGAGATCGGAAGTGGCCGGGAAACGCGTGCGAAGTTGGCACAGTGCTGCTGTTTTCAGCGAACTGCTTGCCGTCGATCGATGTTTCGGACGATACCGAGAGAGATAGAGAGTGAGTTAGAGTGTGATACAAATTGGAGGTGATAGGCAATATGTAGGGCTACTCACCGGAGAAGAAATCAACGGAAACGGAGGTCGGAGGTGATCGGAAAGTGCGCGGGAAGTCGACACAAAACTGCAGAAATCTGCAGTGCAGTTTTTCGCCGTTCATCGCTGTTCAGGTCCGTTTCTCGCTGCTTGGAGCTTCTCCTTGCTGTTCGGGCTTGCCGGAGGTTGTCAGGAGAGTCTCGGTGGGCTCCGACGGGGTCCGCCGGCGACTAAAAGGTGGAGACTACGGTTGTAGGGGCTGGCGGATGGTGGAGGAGATGGGGCTGGTGATGTTGGATGGTGGTGGAGGTGCTGGTGGTGATGGAGATCAGGGAGGAGGAGGTGGCAGCAGCGTGGGGATTCAAGGGGGCTGTTCGTCGGAGTTGGGCTGGCGTGGAGCTTGGGCTTGGGCGTTGGCGGAGCTAGCGGCGAACTAGTGACGTCGTCGGAGAGAGCTCAGGGGCAGCGCGGCAAGGGAGAGGTGGAAGAGGAGAGTTGGTTCGGGAGGTGGTGCTGGAGATGGTGTTGGTGAGCGGATGGAGCTAGAGAAGAGATGATGGAGTTGGAGGTGGAGGTGATGAAGTGATGATGATGGAGAGAGAGATGAAGTGGATGAAGAGTGAGGGAAGAGTTGGAGAGAGGGAGACTGAGGTGAAGAAAGAGAGAGATGGCATGTTGTCTTCGTCGGGGAGGGAGAGATATAGAGCGAGAGAGAAAGAGAACGTGAGAGAGAAGGAGAGACGTGATTGGAGAGAGAGTGAATGAGACAAGAGAGAGAGTCAGGGTCGGTGGAAGAGCAGCGCCCTCGTGGGCGGCTGAAGTAGTCGGCGCGCGTTTGTCAAAAGAAGTGGGCGGTTTGGGGTGGAGAGAGAAAAAGTAGAGAGATGATGAGCATGGAAAAGTATGTAGAGGAGAGAGTGAGCTGATGTAGTTTCTCGGGGAAGTGAAGAGAGAGGTGATTAGATTAAGAGTGAAGTGAGCTGTGCAGTGGAGTGTGATAATAGGCAAAATACAGTAGTGGTATATGAAATGATACAAGTACAAGTTATAACACGAGATGTGTGGTGTATGATACAACTATATTATAATAATAATAATAATAATAATAATAATAATAATAATAATATAACTATGAAAAACCAAATATTAATTTAAAAGTTTTTACTTGAAACAAATGAATTTATAATTAACAAAATCATTAAAATAAATAAAAAACAGATTTTTAAATCATAGAAAATTCTAGAAAATCGAGAAATTACAAATACTCTTTTAAAAGTAATAATTAAATACGTTAAAAAACCAAAAATTATTTTTAAACCAGTATAAAAAATCACGGTCCTTACATTCTACCCCCCTTAAAACAAATTCCGCCCTCGGAATTAAAATAAGAACCCCAGGGATAGATAGGGAATGATATCCATAGACAGATGAGACAAGAAACAAGAAACAATGGAAAGTTAAGAGATAAGAATCAGTGGAAAGTTCCGGAGTCAAAAGTGATAAGGTAGGGATGAAAGGAAATCTATCAAGAAAATAGGATAAGGGCTCAAGGATAGTCTCACGGATGAAATATGATATGTATCTAAATTGTCTACCCCACCCCCCAACCCCCCTCCCCCCTTCCAGCAAATCCTAGTCGAAGGAAACCCTATTTCGAGCAAACCCTAGTTCGAGCAAACCCTAATTCGTCGGCGCTCAATTCGTGGGTCGTCGATCAAACCCTGCTCTCTGATCCTCTCCAGATTTGTGGTTGTCAACATGAATCCAAAATCATCGTCAGAGGTAAATTCTACTCATAGTGTTCGAGCAAACCCTAAATTCTACTCATATTTAAAGAGGAGAACAGCATCCAAAATGTAAGTACACGGTTTTTTTTTGTAATTTGATCGAGTATTTTAGTTTTTTATGTATTGGATTTCGATTATCCTGGCAAAATGTGCATTCCTTTATTTGTGCTTTTGAGTGTTGTGGGACAAAACCCACAGCCATTTTTTTTTTACTTTATTATCTTTAATCTCTTTTATTTTGATTATAAGGAATTTCGAGGTATGATGGTCTAATTTAATTTCAGAAACTCTAATGCTAATATGGGTGAATTCTTTGTATTGTATAGCATTCTTTTTTTGGGTTGAGACCTCTTTGTGTTATTATTCTTTCAAAATATGTATTCCATTGTTAGTAATTTTTGCTCTATTTTTGCTGTAATTTCTTAATTATGTTGTGGTTTAAGTATATGGAATTTGGAAATGTGATATAGTATTTTCAGTGCCAGAAATGATGATGGAAATGTAGGCGAATTTGGTATCGGTCCATTTATTTTTTTTGGTCAATGAAGTTTATATTATCATTTACCAAATCTGAAAGTTTTTTGTACATCAAGAATCTCAAAATTGAGAAATCAAAAAGAAGAAATGCACAGCAACACTTGTTACATTTTTAGTAGAGAGAGCATCCACTCTCTATTTTCCATCAAAGTGTTGTTGTTAAGAACTATAGAAAAAATGTCAAATTTGATGTCTCTCACCAACTGATCAACCCCTCGACTTTTCTTCTGGAATATCCTCATGTTTCTTTCAATCCACAATTTGTATATAGTTGCATTCAGAGCCATTCTTTTAACCTTCTGTTTGAATCCTTTACCCCTCAAGCTTTTGTTGTACCACTCTAATAGTATTTCCCAGTTACAGGTTTTCCATTTAAATTCCAACCAGTCCATGATCTTATTCCATACTTTTTTCGAGTATACACACTCAAAGAAGAGGTGGTTCCTTGACTCCAATCCAGAACAATCACATAAGCAACATTCAATGAGCTTCCTCAGATTATCTATTCCACCACATTGTATCGAAGCTTTATCTCTTATCTTGATCATTTGTTTCCAGGTCCAGGAATCACCAGACTTTGTTTGAACTTGCCAAATATCATTGGTTCTTAAGTAATTACCATGAATCCACTTGATCCATAGTAACTCCTTATTTATATGAATAAACCATATATTCTTTAATGCAGCAGCAGCATTCCAGATTAAAGCTGAGAAAATACCAAGTCCTCCATATTTTTTACCTGTGCATATTTTATCCCAAGAGACTAGCGGAATTCTGGCATCACCCCATAAAAAGTTCCTGCACATATCATCAATCCTCTGGAGCACACTGGTTGGTAAGATATAGCTTGAAGTCCAAAAAGTTTGAATACCAAGAATTACACTCTTAATAACTTGAAGTTTACCAGCATATGATAGATTTTTGAATTTCATCCATTTTTGAAACTGACTAGTAATTTTGCTGAATAGAGGACTACAATCCACAAAAGACAGCCTTTAACTTATTAGAGGCATACCCAGGTATCTGATGGGGAATGTACCTTCAGTATAGCCAAGAAGAGAGTTAATTGAAGCTTTGACAGAATCTTGGGCACCACCATAAAAAATACAAGCTTTATCAGCATTTTCTTCAAGTCCAGATACTGCACTAAAATCCCTGATACATTGGTGGAGCTTCATAATGGTTTGCAGGTCACCCTTTCCAAACAAAAGCAAATCATCAGCAAAGATGAGGTGAGTAATCTTGAGTTTTTTACATTTTGGAGGAAATTTGAACTGATTATCACTCTTCAATATGTCCAATCTTCTTGAGAGATATTCCATGCCAAGGTATCGGTCCATTTAGGGAAGATGCTAATACTCACTTACTAGAGGATGGGCTACTATCACCATATTCAAAGACTCGGACGGCAGAAACACCTACCATTTTCTGGTGCCTATTATTACTAAATTATATTCTGAAAATATTTAGTTGTTTGCTTGAATCTTATCAAGTGTAATTTGCTTCTTCTCTATGGAGCTGTTCAGATTCCTTATGTTGGATTAAGATTTCTTGGTTGAACACAGATTGACATTGAGAGCAATGTAAGCTGAGATATTTTCTAAGTTTTTGACAATGAAATTCTTGTTAGATTGCAACTCAGGCTAAGGGTTCTCGATGATTATGTTTCAGGTCAGAGTTTGGTGCTTTCATGGTCTTATATTATTTGTGTGACCGCACGGGTCTATATGGAGAATCAAAAAGGGTGAGTTTTTATTAGCATTTTGAGATGGAGTATTTGAAGAAACATTGAACCATAAATCATAATATTATTCTATGTAAACCTGTTCAGTATTAAAAAGGGCAAAAAAACTGAATTTTTGTCCTCCAAGAATACAAATTTTACCATATATATAACGCCTAGAGTGTTAAAGACGTAAACAAGAGGATTGAGAATGAGGTACTGGAGTCTAATCCTTGAAGGGGCACCAAAGGGTACAAACTTATTATAAAACTAAGCTATAAGTGAACATTTAAGTTAGAATAAAAAAAGATAAACTCATCCTAATTTTGATGAAGCAAGTCTTAAGTGCTTTTAAGTAGCCTTCAGTCCCTTATTTTGTGTTACCTTTATTGAGGTATTCTATTATGAGTTGTTGATGGCGCTAGGTGGACCGAAAAAAGTCATTTAACATGTGTTGAAATTGATGCCATGACCATAGCTAGAATATGTTATGTTCAGGCAAAATAGCAGAAAATGGAAAAGAAAACTAAATTCACACTATGTTTGGGAGTTCACTAGGGGAAGGGAAGAGAAAGATAAAGTAGGAAGGGAAGGGAAGAGAAGAATGTGAACTTAATTCAACTTGTTTGAGAGTTCTAATAAAGGGAAGGGAAGGGAAGTGAAGGGAAGGGAATATAAGTAAACTTACACAAATGAACTTACATTTTAGTAAAACATTTTGAAAACTAATAAATGATAAAAAAAAGGTGAAGTACCATACTTAGATATTGGTTGTGCATCATCATCATTATTATTATTACTATTGGTAATGCCTTGCATATTCCCAATACACAAGCTTATAAGAACTTGCTTTCAAAATAAAAGTAATATACATAGACTTTGTAGTAGGAAACAACCTACAAAATAACATCACTAGCTTATCAAAATAACATGTGATAAGACAATACACAAAATATAAATTAAAGAAAACCCTAGATCTGATGGACTGGCCTCACAAACCACCACATGTCTTTTCAGCACGTTTTTGTCCTCACTCACGCCCTCCCTGGAAAACTTCCTAGGGGGTCACCCATCCTAGAATTTCTCCAGGCCAAGCACGGTTAACTTTGGAGTTTCTAAGAATTGGGTTCCCGAAAAGAAGATGCATCTTGGTGGTATGAGTATTCCAATCAAATCTATCAATACTAATCACATCACCCCTCTCAAGGGTTGGGGTATTACACGTTTGGGCCGAGACACCTCGGGGTGTCTTAGCTTAGGCTGAGACAGTCTGTTTTACATGCTTGTCCATTTCTGCTGTAGGTGGCTCACGCCCTCTCGACGTAGCACTTTGCGCCGTATAGCACTTAGCTCTCACAATTCCGGTTGGCTTGGTTCTGATACCATTTGTAACGCCCCGCCCCGGAATCCCAAAGTCGGTACGCTACTAGATCTGATGGACTGGCCTCACAAACCACCACATGTCTTTTCAGCACGTTTTTGTCATCACTCACGCACTCCCTGGAAAACTTCCCAGGGGGTCAACCATCCTAGAATTTCTCCAGGCCAAGCACGCTTAACTTTGGAGTTTCTAAGAATTGGGTTCCCGAAAAGAAGATGCATCTTGGTGGTATGAGTATTCCAATCAAATCTATCAATACTAATCGCATCACCCTCTCAAGGGTTAGGGTATTACAATATATATGGAGAGGAAATTAATATTTAATTAATTCAAACCTAATTTAATAAAATATGCATAGCAAAAAATATTTTCCATCATTGTTCAAACCTAATCACCAAAAAGTTTCATATCTAATTAATTCGTATCTAATTTAATAAAATATTCCAAAAAGGTTGATAATGGCTCTGTGGCTTGGCATAGCATATGTTTGTACTCATCAACAAATTTGAGAGTACATCTCGCCACGATAGTTGTTGTATGCAAGGGTGAAGGTTCAGGTTGCAGTTGACTGATGCATTAAGTGCTAATATTTTTATAAACATCTATAAATATCATTTGATATGTATGGATGGAAAACTAAAACAACTTTATGCACATCCTCAAGGAAAGACTTTTAATCGTGGGAACTCAAGTTAATTGGACATTTGTATTTAAATTCTTTGCTAATGCTTTCTGCTTCAGGAATTTCCTTATTCTTTTTCTTCATCATCAAGCTATACTATAGTTATCTTTCTATTTCATGTTTCTCCTAATTGTTTTTTTTTTGGTCAATGAAAAATACTTTATATTCATTCACCAATTGGAAAAACAGTAGAACATCAAAATCTCCGGCATTGAAACAGCCTGGAGAAACAAAACTGTCACTCTAAGTATTTACAGTTACATCCTCCCAATTTCCTCTTTGAAATGTATCGGTATTTCCTCATTCAAAACTTTTGAAAGTATGGCAATCTTGATTACTCGAAAGAGAATGTCAGGGCTACGATTTTTTCCTTGGAATAATCTCAAATTCCTTTCTTGCCATACAAAATAAACTGTTGTAGCTAGAGCCATTCTCTTAATCTTCTTCATGAACCCCTTGCCCTTTAGATTATGAGCATACCAGTTTAGTAGACAAGTCCAACTACAAGACCTCCATTTAAATTGCAACCAATCCATCACACTGTTCCAAACTTGGGCTGAATATATGCATTCAAATAAGAGATGATGACAAGTTTCCTCTTTTTGCTGATCAGGAGGACACAAAACACAGTGGTTTGTATTGAGTATCCTCATCCTAATTAGCATGTCCTGTGTTGACAATCTGGAAAGAGTAGAAAGCCATAGCACAAAAGAGTGTTTTGGGTAGTTCCACCCCTCCCAAACTGTGCTGTACCAGGAATTTTGAGCAGAGCTATTGAACAGGTTATAGATAGAGGAGATTTTAAGCTTACCATTAAAACAGCAGCCATTGATGAAGTTTGTGAGGTTGCTGACAGATCCAAATTTGATCAACATCTTGTCTCTAGCTCTTAGGAGCTGTCTCCACACCCAGGAGTCCGAAGCTTTGTTTTGTACATGCCATATATCTGATTGGTGTATATAATTTTCGTGAACCCACTTGATCCAAAGCAGATCTTTTTTCATATGGATCATCCAGATGAGTTTAAGTGCAGCAGAATAGTTCCAGTCCCTTGCTGAGAAGAGCCTCAAGCCTCCCTGTTTTTTGTTTTTGCAAACATCAGACCAAGAAACCTGATGAATTTTGTTGTTCCATAGGAAGGATGAACATAGACTGTCTATTTTTTCAAGTACTTTCATAGGCAAGATAAAATTACTTGTCCAGAATGTTTGAACACCCAAAATGACAGATTTTATTAATTGCAATCTCCCTGCATACGAGAGAAATCTCCTCTTTTTCCACTGAATAAATTGATCTGAAATCCTGTTGATGAGTGGTGAACAATCAATGAATGATAGCCTTTTAGACATAAGAGGTAACCCCAAATATCTAACTGGTAAAGTTCCCTCAGGAAAATTGAGCAGATTGCAAATCTGGATTTTTAAGCTGTCCTCAACACCACTGACATAAACTGAACATTTTGTAGGGTTGATTTCCATCCCAGATACCCTGCTGAACTCCTTAAGACAGTTGTGCTTTCCTTGGTGAACTAATCCTCCCCGGCTATTATTTCCTTAGTGGAATAATACCCGTCGTACTGCATAGATTCGACCGGATCTAGATCGCGCGGTGGTCCACGGATTAACCCCGGCGTCGGCAAAGAACCCACACAAGCAAGAGACCGTAAAACAGGATCTTGCGATTCGTTCGACAAATAAGGAGAAAGTTGTAATTTTTTATTTCTTTTTTATTTGATTTTCGTTGTAACCGGATCTAAAAAATACCGGATCTTTGTAACTCGAAAAGCTGTTATTTGAGATGACAATGAAATCAATAATGAAGAAAGGATAACAATGAATTCAATGAAGGCAATTTTCACCGCGAACAATCTGGCGACCACAGTGGGAGCCACCGATCTCGCTGCCGAGATCGTCACGTCGCAGCCCCGGATCTCAATCCCGGTCGAGGAGGAGGTCGAGTATGAATTCGACCAGGCCAAGTTCGAGGAGTACCTTTCATCCTCGTCCAGATCTACCTCCCCCGGCAAGTCCAAGAAGTTCTCCTCCAGGAGAAAAGTTCGTTGGTTTGAAGAAGTTCAGAACGCCAACGAAACTCTCACCGGTGAAGTTCCACCGACCTCCAACGAGGTCAAACCTATTCTTGTCAATGCTTCTACTGTTGAGGGCGTTGTGACTCTCTCAAAGAGAGCCCGCCAGAGGCGACGTCAGCGCCTTGCGCGACAACTCGCTAAAGCGATGGAGTCTACGGACGGAGTCCGCTACATCACGGATCTGAAGAATAGGAGAGGCAAACAGCCTCAACAACTGAAGAATGGCGGTTCCTCCAAGCCACCAACGAACGAATGGATCCGGGTCAAACGGAACCGTTCGACACTCGAAGAGCGGATTCACAAACGCCGCGCACTGCTTGCACAAGCCAAAATCCTTGTGCAGAAGGCTGAAGAATTGAAGAAAGGAAGAGTGGCCAAAAAGCCGCCATCAACCCGCCAAGTGTGGAGGCCGAAGCAGCCTCCAACCAAAGTTTAATTCCAATAGCTTCTCCGGGAGATCATGCAGAATCGTCCCAAAGGAAGAAGCCAGTCTTGGAGCGTCTCGGTCCACTTTCTGATGAGCGAGTCAAAGCTCCTGTTC